GAAATTGAGAAATTTCAAGAAAATAAAACAAGATATATTTGGTTGAACTATTCCTAGTTTATAAAGGTCCTCAAGTATAAAAGGAAATACAAAATACATAAATTTTATACAAATATTTCCTGACAGGGTCTGAAGAAAATTAGTACATTTTGGTGAAAACTGAAAAGAAAAGAAAAAATCATTCAAAATAGTAAGCTCATCTGTTTATGCCATATTTAATGTCACTCTTCTCATGATGAACCAAGAAAATGTTATCAAGACTAGAGAGTCCAAATTTGCTAATAGACTGTACTCTATCTGTATGCCAAATTTCATAACTTTTCTATGTCCGGTTCTATAAACTGCCATACACTCAAGAGAAGCAGTATCGGAAAAAGAAGCAGCAGAAACAAAAGTAAAAGTAGAAGAAAAAGACGACGACAGCTAACAATTACAATAGGTGCCTATGCATCTGCGGGGCACTGAAGGTGTGACAGGACTCACCCGGGTCTTCTTTGTTTGTTTGGGGAGCCACTGAGAGTAGTAGTGGTAGAAGGCGATGACGTGAGGAGGGCATGAGGCGTGTGACATGTTCAGATTTTTATCGTAGTGCTGGAGAGTCAGACACAGAGCCAGCGGGTCCCTCTGACAGTGCAGAACATCACACAGGACTGCAGCCATGTACTCAAACACCACACCTATACGACAGAGCACAGGCTTTACCATGTTAAAGATCATATTAACACCAGCACAATGAAAACAGGATTTCCACTTAACTGTCCAGCCCTACATACTGAATTCTCATTGAACATCCTTTTGCACTCCCAGGCATACAAAGGTGCGGGGAATCCAGGGGCTAAATTATTATTATTTGATTATTTTACAAATTATAATTATTTACATTTTTATTTATTTTATTAAATTATAACAATTACTCAATGTTTTATTAGTGTTACTAGTATAGTAATATATTTGTATTAATTTGAGTATTTAATAATAATAACAACTTTACTTTACAGAAAAACAGGTCGCCTTTATTTCATTGCTTTCAAACATTTAACCAAAGAGCTTTTATTTTGAATTTAAAAAACACAGCGACCTTAAAGTTTCTAAGCTTCTGTTTTGTTGACACCCCAATCAATTAAAAAAAATCTAATAATAATAATAATAAGTTATTTTATTAAATTACAACAATTAAACAAATCAATAAAGCAAAACATATTTTTAGATATAATACCAGAGTTTAAAAAAATATTATGCCATTTAATAACAATACTAATTTTATTTAACAGAAAAAGTGTCACAGGCTGTCTTCATTTCTTAACTTTCAAACATTAAATCATAAAGCTTTTATTTTAAAGGGAAATCACAAAAAGAGCTTAAAGTTTCTAAGCTTCTCTTTTGTTGAAACATCAACAAGTTTCAGAAACTCATCGGATCTACTCAAATCACACAAATGACATATTTTGGATTAAAAACTGTGATTTTCACCCAAAAGATGACAAGTTTGCAGGTATATGTATAAAAAAAAAAATTTATTAAAAAAAAAAAGACACGCAGGCTGGACTCAAATCAGTGCCCTTTTACATGAGCGCCAAGGCTCAATGTGTATAAGCAAGCCACAGCTCTGATGTCTGATTTTGTTATTTAATAAATTTGGTTGTTTAGATCATATCTATTTGCATATTTTACCTTTCCCATCTTTAAAACTCTCCGGCAGTTTGTTGCGAACCTCTAGCACAGCTGGTACAATGGCACTAAACGGGAACGTCTGGAGGATGATCTCATCAGTGAGGGAAGGTCCGATCTCCTCAACATCCCCTTCGCTGCCCTCCACTATAACATCAACCATGTCGAGCACATCTAAAACACAGATGCATTTAAACAACCCATATTAATTCACATCACTGCCACTAGCACCTCAGATTACAGATACATATGTGAAATGTGCATAGCAAGAGTGCTAACCGTCGATGTGTGATATGGGGATGCTGGCTTCATCTCCCTCCTGGCCGCTCAGGTTAGCCTGTAGATACGCTGCCTCCTGAACCATACTCGCTGCTTTCTCAGTGTACACGAGTGGGTTACACACCACTCTCATCAAAACCTGTCACACAACATAGTTGGACAGTACTGAATGGCAAAATATCAACTTTTTGTATTCAGAACTCTGACATGATTCTATAAGAACCAAGTAAAACCAGATGTGAGTGGTTAGAATCCAGTACATGGTCTAAAAACTGAATAACGGTCTCCTGCTGGGATGGGTCCAAAAGCGCCAGATGGTCCAACCATAACTCCAGCTCCTTCCACGTGTGCTCAAATACACCGCTGTCCCGCAACACCTGGAAAGCAGAGGAGGATAAATGAGCCAGAGGAGTTCAGCCATAGATACAAATTCTGTCATTATTTCCTCACCCTCATGTCAGTCCAAACTACTGATCTATATAATGACTGGATTTCTAAACTGCTGACAGGCGGGGAAAGCCACCGGAAGCGTTCGAGCCGCCATCTTACTATTCCCTTCTGGCAAAAACCTTGACCTAAAACCAGCCGATTTGAAGCGTATCAGTCAGACAGGATTAGATTTTAAGATGTGTACGTAAATTAATGTTATCTGCAATGTTTATGGTCTTTTCAGGCAGGATAAGCGATATATTTAAATCGTAAGGGTGGGTGTGTCAGCTGCGCACTTGCTGATACAGGTAACTGATCGAACATAAAATGTATGTCTTTATGTGCGTAATTTTGCAGGAAATATTAAACATCAACATATATCTGGTATTACTATCTGTACACTCTAAAAAATGCTGGGTTAAATATAACCCAGCATTTTTTTAGAGTGTAGTAGTAGTATATTTTTATTTAATGCCATGTCAGCATCTTAGGCTGGTATTAGGATCTGAAACTGATTTGAATATACAATGAATAATACAATACAAAGCCTCTGTTAGTATATGTGACCCTGGACGACAAAAAAGTCATATTTAGCCGAGATACAACTATTTGAAAATCTGGAATCTGAGGGTGCAAATCAAAATATTGAGAAAATCGCCTTTAAAGTTGTCCAAATGAAGTTAGCAATGCATATTACTAATCAAAAATTAAGTTTTGATATATTTACGGTAGGAAATTTTCTAAATATCTTCCTGGAACATGATCTTTACTTAATATCCTAATGATTTTTGGCATAAAAGAAAAATCGATAAATTTGACCCATACAATGTGTTTTTGGCTATTGCTACAAATATCCCCCAGAGACTTAACACTGCTTTTGTGCTCCAGGGTCACATACTGATATTCAAAGCTTACTCTGCATCATCTTGGAAATAAAGCTTCATGTCTTTAAGTCTGTACAGTATGCAGTCAATCAGTGTTATTCCTCTGAATAAGTTATGATGTGTATTTGAAGAATTTATTTGGAAAAAACGATAATGAGCTGATTGCCGTGCATTATTCTCCACATATAACGCGATCTGAACCCTAAATACGGCAATTTGTCAAAAAAGCTGGTTTTGTCCACTTTCAAGGCATCGCGAATTCACGTTTTACTGCAGAAGCCGACAAGCGCCCTTGTTGTTTTGAACAGAAGCCGATAAGTCCATTTTAGCGAATCAGCGCGCTGTATTCAAGTCAGGTGACAAGGCTACTTTCACTTTGAAAAGACGCGCTAGCTGAGAGGAGTTTCGTCAAAGCTAGGTATATACAGATGCATCTCAATAAATTAGAATGTCGTGGAAAAGTTCATTTATTTCAGTAATTCAACTCAAATTGTGAAACTCGTGTATTAAATAAATTCAATGCACACAGACTGAAGTAGTTTAAGTCTTTGGTTTTTTTAATTGTGATGATTTGGCTCACATTTAACAAAAACCCACCAATTCACCATCTCAACAAATTAGAATACTTTATAAGACCAATAAAAAAACCATTTTTAGTGAATTGTTGGCCTTCTGGAAAGTATGTTCATTTACTGTATATGTACTCAATAATTGGTAGGGGGCTCCTTTTGCTTTAATTACTGCCTCAATTCGGCATGGCATGGAGGTGATCAGTTTGTGGCACTGCTGAGGTGGTATGGAAGCAACATTCTAATTTATTGAGATGCACCTGTATAGTAATAGTAGTATAGTATAAGGTACGTATATTAATTACTAATTTAACCAACGTTTAAATCATTACCTGCTTCAAAACAAATGCTGTTAACAAAAACCTTGTTGAAACATTTGCAGTCAGCTTACTGTACGAATAAAAACATTATTACAAAATGACAAATAGTAAATAACTTTACAAGGCGAGTTAAGGTACATGCGTATACAAAGCATAAATCTTTATTTAGATTTCAGAATGAGCACTTTGTCATTTGTAATACATATGTCGATGTTTATCATGTTCACCTGATGTTTGCTACTGTAATGTATATAAACGTAACTTTTTAATATGCGGGGAATGCAATTCCCGACATTAAACAAATAACCGTTTACATGCTTAGGACGTTTGTTGTACAAATGTACAGGGATACTTCAGGTATAAAAACGCTGACTTGTTAGGCGATGTATTCTCATTAAAAATAAACGATTTAGGGATGGGCGATATCTTATCGTTTGCGATATACCGGTAAAAATTCTCCCCACGATAATAACGATAAAGTCTAGTGGTTGACATATTTCTGTGTGCGACTGTGTGGAGTGACGTGAAGGAAGGCGGACGTGAAATTGAGCAGCTCCTCCTACAATCTGGAACCGGTTTGAATAGGGCTGTACAGTGCGACAAAAATCGGTCTGACCTTGAGTAAATGTACTACCGTAGTACGTGTGCATTACAGTTTTACATGCGAGTCTTTTACAAACCTGTTGTCCAACAAAGATATTATTTATTGACGTGCTTTTTCTCCATATTAACTTCATAACAGTCGAGTGTTTGAAATAACTTATCTTTGTGATCAGACGTGGTTTCGTATCACAGAATAAGGCAGAAATCATACTATTTTATAGCATTATATATAGTGATAAAGGCTATGTCGATTAGCATTGCATTATAAATATACTCTATCCTTATAAAAATACCCAAGATTGCTTGAAGAACACAGATACCATATATTTTGTGCAATCGCATGTTTATTGTCTTCAGGTTTCCTCTATCTGCGTTTTATGCATATTTCTGCTATGCATATGTGGAGTTTCTGCGCAAGGGCGCCCTCCAACTTGAAGATTTATTAAACAGTCGTTACATTACGTGTGTACTGCTCACAACACCCTATTTTGGGTAAAAATAGGAAAGATAATACTTTTCTCTAAAGAAACAGGATTCCCTGAATTATCGTCATTGATATCGTTATCGCAATAAATATCAGAAATTATCATGATACATTTTTAAGCCCATATCGCCCATCCCTACGATTTCCTATTAATTCAATAGAATGTATGGGAATACCAATATGGCAGTGAGGTGGCCTCACTTTTATATCATCATGAGCAATCCAGTTCTGTACTATAAATCTGTGGTCCAAACCCATGTGCTGTTCATTTTTATGTGGAACACACCATGAATCATCATATGGCAAGAGCGTGCGTTCCTCTGCACGTAAACATGCGTGTTCAACGTCAGCAGCATCATGCGTTGTTTACGTGCAGAAGTACTCTCGATAATGGTGGAAGGCGTGATTTGGAGGAGAAGTATTGTTGAATAAAGTCATTATTTTGGTTTTCTTTGTGCATAAAAAGTATTCTTGCAGCTCCGTAAAATTACAGTTGAGCCACTGATGTCACATGGACTATTTTACTGATGTCCTTACTACGTTTCTGGGTCTGGGAACATTTCAGTTACGCTGCTCTCTATGCAGGGTCAGAAAGCTTTCGGATTTCATCAAAAATATCTTTATTTGTGTTCCGAAGATGAACGAAGGTCTTATGGTTTTGGAACGACATGAGGGTGAGTAATTGATGACAGCATTTTAATTTTTGGGTGAACTATCCCTTTAACATTGTATTGTATTATATTATATTAATATTCTATTTAAATTATAATATAACATATAATAAATTATCTTTATTTAAATTAAAAATATAGGTTTTGTATGCAGTTTTCTGTTGTTAGGAGAATGAAACTTACTTTTAGGACCAGCATCCTGGTTGAAGTCTTCAAGTAGTTACTGTTACTACTTACAAACATTTTAAGTAGCAAATAGAAGACTGATTTCTCTCCTTTTTCAGGATCTGGATCTGGTAGATCCTGTGTTTTGGGAGGAAAAAAAAGGGGAAAACATGATGATCTTAAGCTTAAAAGAAACAAAATACACATTCTGAAAAACATCAGCAAACCAAATGTTGAAGACAAATGTGGTCACAAAAAATAAACCTTACAAACGTTTTTACCTGAACACGAAACCAGGAGAATTTGCTTGCAGGAAGTTCCAAAGCCAGTTGTAGAATTTGATACTGTAGAACTGGAGGAACTTCCTGTTTTATTCCACTCTCTGTCACAATGCCTGAAAATGTTTTAATAAGTCACTTACTCCTTCCATAACAGGTTAGAAGGTAAATGCACTACATTTGTTACATCTGTTTTCAATCAATGTGTCATACCTTTTAGGAGTTTGCTAAAGTCGAATTTGCTCTGGCTGACAAGGTGAGGCACCACCCTCTGATACAAACACATGACCTGAAGCAGCAGAGCTTTCACCAGGATGAGCTGTGGATCGTCCTGCCGTGCTGTTTGAGAAAAAGCATTTCAGAATTATTGCGTTTGAACAATAACAAGCCTATAGCTACAAAAGAGCATTAACTATTTGGTTATTACGGTGTTCTTCGCTCTGTTTTTGTCCTGTGCCTATCGTCTTTACTGCATCTTCCTTCTCCTTTGAGAGCGACTGCCAGTTGGAAACAACGGACACCATGTCCGGTAGAATCTGTGGCAGTAAAAGGATAAATATTCATTGTGAAATAATATGATACCATGAAATAATCCTTCTGTTTTCCCATCAACCTCACCTTGCTCAGTGCCTCTCTGTAAAGCTGCACAAACTCCTCCATCACGGCAGGGCTGTAAATGTCTGAACTCTCCCAGACTGTTTTGTCCAGACAGTGTTCAATGTTTTTCTGGGCTCGCTTGAGAATAAATGCCAGGAGGGAAATTGTTGTGTGCTGGACCACCAAGTTGGGTAGCTATTAGAGAAACAAGAAATATTTCAAATAATGTTGACGAATGATAATAACTGTACTGTATCAGTGCACAGGTGAACAAGTTGTCATAGAACCATTTAAAAGTTTGAGCTCAGTATGATTTTTTTTTTTTTTAAACAAATTAATACTTTTATTCAACAAAGGATCCAATAAATTGATCAAACGTGACAGTAATTACATTTTTAAAGTTACAAAAATATAATATTTTTAAATAAATGGTGTTCTTTTAAAAGAGAATACTGAAAAAAAATGATATTTGGCAGCACAAACGTTTTCAACATTGATAATAATAAGAAATTTTCCTCGAGCGTATTAGAATGATTTCTGCAGGATCATGTGGCACTGAAGAAAGGAGTAATGATGCTGAAAATTCAGCTTTGCCATTAAAGGAATAAATTACATTTTGAAATATGTTCAAATAGAAAACAGTTATTTTAAATCGTAATAATATTTCACAATACTACTGTATTTTTGATCAAATAAATGCCTTGGTGAGCACAGAAGTCTTTTTTCAAAAACATCAAAATCTTACAAGCCCCAAACCTTTGAACAGTAATGTACAACTCAAAAACACATCTGCTTCTAATATTAAATCATTTGGATTTTGCATCACAGCTTGTGATTATATGATTGGTTGAATCTACCGCTTACATTGAGACCTTGAGTGAAGAAGGCTTTATTGCACACTGAAGGAAGAGACGTGACCAACACCATAGACAGCAGACGAGGTAAAGGAATCATTTCACTCATCTGGAAAGCCTTGGACACCTCCGGCTGAGCCTCATAAATCTGCAACAATATCAAACCACGAGTAAGTCATAACTGTCTGAGCTAAGGCAAAAGGATGCACAATATAAATAAGATGTAAAATGGACTGTTAGGGTTGGCCACCTCATTCACAACTGCTGCTTCTATCTCTTTTTTTTTTGACAATGATTGCATTTATTTAGACGCAGAACGTCTTAACGACCACATCAAACGGGAGATTTTTTAGTTAAAAGCGCGCTCAAACTTCACCTCAGCACCAGGCACTAGTTAAACATGCGCTGAAATGTTACAGGTGACGAGGCACTTCAGTAGAACAACAATGAACTGCAGTCAGATGAGATGCTGTCAGTAATATGTCAATAAAAATGAATTTTCCTGTCCTGTCAGTCGTTATACTGTGCTTGTAGCATGTGCATTTCAATTGCACGCACAAATACGGCGGTGTGCGTTGTAGCCCGTTTCAATTCATATTAAAGCGCAAATGAAACTACAAGCATGCGTGTCAGATCCGCGTCACGTTCAGCAGCAGCAGCTCTTAAAGTAATAGCTGCCAAATAACCCAGCTACTGTGATGTCTGTTCATCAAAGAACAAAATTAATTTAAAAAAAAAAAGAGGAAATCAATAACTTTTGTAGCATTAAAAGTGCCCCCATTATGGATTTTTGAAAATGACCTTTCATGCAGTGTGTAACACAGCTCTAAGTGAATGAAAACACTCAGCAAAGTTTTAAATCTGAAAGTGCACAGTGTATAAAGTTATTGTCTCTCAAAAGAAAGAGTAGACTCTGAATCATTGAAACGAGTCGTTTTTAAAACGAATCCCAAGACGTGTCATGTTGAAGTCAACATGAAACATTAGCATATTACCCGCCCACTTGTTGGGTCTTTTCCCTTTGGTCTGAATGAAAATGCAAATTCATTCTTTGCCACTAGGTGCCGCTTTAGGAGCGGTAAAATAGCGGTTTTCCCGTTAACGGCTGTAAACAAAGCAGCACTGCGCTCACAAACGCTGCTTTATCAGGAATTACAGGCAAGATGAGATGAAAATGAGACCAATCGGACCAATCACCGCAGATTAGCGTCAAGCAAAGGAGGGGTTTGGAAAAATGAATCGTCGAGCGAATCGTTTGTGAGTCGTTGAGCAAGTAAGGTAAAAATAAATGCATATTATAAGACAATGAAAGTGTTTTTTGACCTTGCATGCATGTCAACCTGTTGTTGGTGACTCCCAAAACCAAAATATGAACCTTTCTTTACCCATAATAGGGGCACTTTAAGGATTCGTCTACATTTAATTTACTATTTAGTGTTTGATAACTTTATTAAATTTCTGTATATTTCCTACTTGCTGAAGGGCACAGGTAAATGCGTACAAAGGCTTCAGACTCACTTTCTTGAGTAGAGTGATGTTTTCCAACCAAGTGCTTTTGTTTCGTGGACTGAATGAGAAATTGGTTTCTTTAAAGTATCTGGTCAGTATATCAGGACTGGCCTTCAGAACACTAACAACCAGCTCCGCTACCATCTCATCCTCGGTAGCCTGCTTCAGCCCCACCAGGAACTGCAGAAGAACAATGTTTCCTGCTCTGGATGGGTACAACGAGGTGATAAAAGGACAATGAGGAGAAAGCATTTTGGGCACATTTGACTTGACCTTATTTCTTTTACACTTGGGAGATTTTGTGCTAGTATAGTCATATTTTACAAAACGGTGTTTTGTAACTATAGAATAAAATACAATAAAATTTAGCTGAAAGAATGACGATATGAAGATCTCAAAGACTTACCTTCCAGCGGTGCCCAGGCTCGGGTCATGAAAACTGATACCATGTTTGCGAGAGCAGCAGAGGTCCAGCAGGAAGTTATGCACCAGCTCCCTCACTATACGCTTCCCTTCACCTTCATCCTTCTGTTTCTAAAAGATGTTGGATACAAAAAGCTTAAAGACATTCTGAAAGGTTCTGTATTCAAATAAACCTAGGATGGGACTTGATGTTATCCATCAGAGTTTGATAATAATAATGTGACATTATTGGTTAATATTATTTTCCCTCACCTACAACCTTATAATAGAAATAGGATTTCAGAGGTAGAATTACATTGTTACTAACAGGAACATGACAAAGAACTTCTTTTTAATTATCTAGAGGTCCCAAGCAAGATTTTCCACAAGGGCTGTCACAATTTCAGGTTTTTAACTACACAATTATAATGGCCAGAAAATAATTCACAATAACAAATATTATTGTGATATCAGTAGAAATTTTGGGATAAAATAGATAATGCTAAAAGTTAAGTTAACCTTTGACTTTGTTTATTTCTTGTTCTTGTCTCTATTTTGGCCTATGAACCACACTCAATAAGTATAGGGAGGTGGAAAGAGCGTTTATAACCATGACTGTACAAAACCATACAAAATTAATTTTCTGCTGATCGGCACTTCCTGCAGACTGGGGTCTTTAACACCCCGTCTTTTCTTTACGGAATCCAAAAAATTATGCAGCAGCAACAACTTCTTCCTCTACATCTTATGATATCACTTGTATGTGTAGTATTATTAACATGATATCAACATTTCCTTTTTTTGGCAAGGTCCCTTTAGTTAACGTTAGTTAATGCATTAACTACACTGTAAAAAGATCACAGTGAATTTAACGGTAAAAGACTGTAAAAATGCTACAATAAAAACATGTTAAATGGTTAACGGTAAGTTCCCCTACTATATACGGTGAAAAACTGTATTGGACATTACAATAGCAATCCAAACACAGAATATATGTGTGAATAAAACACAATGAAACGCAGTATTCAATAGACAGGGCTGCAACTGTTC